GCAGAGAAAGCACGTTTGCTTGTTGTCACTTACTCTGTTTCCTACGTTAGGAGAGAAAAATAATTAATTGCAAAATATGGTACCACCCCCTGGCAGCAACTAACTAAAGTATGTTTTGGAAATAACGCTCTTGTCAAATACGTTTTAAGGCACTTAAACAGGTACATCATATTTGTGTGTAAAAAAATAAAATATTCATTGAAGCAACATTCACAAGGACGAGTCTTCAGCATCACTTGTATGTACACGCCTGTACATATATACACTGCTTCAGAAAGCACGCCCCCTTTGTTATACTGTTGGCCTTGTCAACTTCACTCCCTACGAGAAAGGAAAACATGTTCAGAGTTGGACAGCAGCTGTGAGCAAAGTAAAAGGATCAGTTAATGCCAGATAATTCATGCTACTAGCAGGAATGGCATTATATATATATATATAATGGCAGGTTATATAATGCCGCCTCAATGGCATTATATAACTAATAATCCAAACCTCTGTACACACACAAATTTACCTGCCCACCTTCGTGGCCAGCACATCCTTTCATCTGCCCATGGACTGGCTTGGCTACTCAAACGGATCCCCTCTACACTAGAAGACGGCCGTGGGTCTTAATCAGTATTGTTTGCAAAGTAGAGGAGGTCCACAGGGCTACGTTGAGGACAGACTCTTTGTATTTACTGTAGTGGCCAAAATCAGTGGATAAATTCTGGATTTTTCTGGATTATTCTAAATTAGTCAGTGATTATTCTACATTAGCCAGTGGCAGCATAGTTTGGAGTGGTTTCTTTGCAAACGAAAAAAATGAACAATATCGTTCAATTTAGTCTCCCTTTTAGAAATGTTTCTGTTACTCTGTAGAACAAATCCCAGCCCCTTTAAAACATTTAGAAGAAAGATTTACTCTGGTAAATCTGTTCTCTATCACTGCTTATTACTGATAAGAGTACTGGGATTTTCAAATAATTTTCATCATTCTCTGTCAAAAATCATATATACCAATTCTGAAAATGCACATATATATTAGTGAACATAAGCATAAATATGGAAAAAAAGGGGATAAAAAGTAAAAGGAAGAAAAACGCACTAAACTGCTCCTGTACGAACTCCAACTAGGAGGCTCAGAAACGATGTAATAAGATGTAGCATTTTGTTAAGTAACTGAATTAGTGAACAAGCTGGACGGGCTACGCTTCCCAGGTAGGGTCCTGGGGACCTAGAGCCAGCCTTCTAAAAGTGACTGTATATTACTATCTGGAGCGTCACCGTGGCATTGGGGAAAGATTTAAGGGGCCAAATCGATGAGGATTCAAGTCCAAACTCCAGCACATGACCTTGGGCTAGTCCCTCAGCTCTCTGAGCCTATTCCCCAACCTGGAAAATGGGGACGGCAAAGCCTGCGATGAACATCCTCGTAGGCAATGATGAACAACAAGGGCAACAACAATAACCAGAACCTCCAGCTTTTATCAATACTTGGCAAGTCATCCTCTACCACTCTAACTGCAGACCTTATCATTAGTCTCACAGTGGCAGAAACTGAGATACAGAGAAGTCACGTATGCCAGGGTCACAGGTGAGGAAGTGGCAGAGCCAGCAGCCTGACCCACCCTCTGCATCAGTTAAAGGGTGGAAGGTGCTCTGCACACAGAGTTCAACAGGGGGTGCTGTGGCCCTTCCCTTTTCAGGATATTAAGGACATGACACAGGGTGCTTTGTCACTGGATGTCTCTTCTTCCCACACATTCCCTAAGAACAGCTGCTGCCTCGTGCGTAGACATAAAACAGGCCTGCGGGCCTAACCCACTGGAAGAAGCCAGCTCTCAGTGAGGGCTACCATCTTATGAGCAGTGTCTAAATTTCTCAGCAATCACTCAGCTGACTTTATTTTGGTCGATAATTTAGGAAATCAAATTGACAAATATCTAATGTGGAACAAGGTTGTAAGTTTGGTGAAATTAACATTGTGTGGGCTCTTCTGCCACTTAAATGTCATTTTTTAATGACCACACACGATTTTGCCATATAAAGAGGTGATTTTGTGTCTGGAAAATTAAAAAGAAATTAGGTATTCTAGATAATGCCAGGTTCTATCATAGTTAGAAAGGGATTTGAAGTCTGGACACAGATGGGCGACTGGGTGGGGCAGAGATGATATGCACCAGAGTGGAGGGTGTACTTATTCTGAGTATATATGCTGAACCTTTACCCTGATACAATAAACCCTTCAATGTGAGTTAAAAAGAGCTTCTTACAACTGCATTTAAAACATAACTTTCATTTATAATAATTTAAAACGATTAACCCTCAACCCTCCTGTTCAAATTGAAATGGATCAATGCACTGTTATTATTATTTTTAGGTAAGAATATTTACCATTTTACCAATGAGGAAACTGAACCATCTAGTGGTCAGGAAACTCCCCAGTGGTGGACTCCAAATTGAGAATGAGGACTTGCTAGCAAAAGCTAAAGTGTAGGAACAGTTCACATTCCAGAATAGCATTTCAATCTAATTTGGATATAAAAAAAGATCTTTTTGGAGTCTTACCTTCTGCCTTGACACCATCCAAGACTTTATTGTTGGCACCAACACACTTCCCAGCAGGATTTGAGCTGGGTGGTAGATGAGCAAGGGCACGGATATTAAAGAGAGATGCTCATGGCCTGCGAACACTATCTTCAGCATCGGAATTCCTGACGAACAAAGACAGAAAATCCAGATGCAAATTCAGTCTGTGGTCAAATTAAAGACATACTCCATTAAAAGCAGAACTTCCTTCCCCATGAGTATTCATGGAACTGAAGTAGGACGAGCTCACCAAATCTTTCTGTCTTCCTTTACCATATAAAGCTCGAAGCTCTAACTAGAACAGATTAAAGGGAAACGGTGGTCAGTATTCAAGGGCACCAACAACTCTCACCGCAGGTTAGCAGCCTGTCTAACAAGGACAGGAGAAGAGATTGCATGTGACAGATTTGCCTTAAGAAGGATGAAAAAATATTGGTAAGGGAGAGGTTAAAAATAGATCTACTCTTGCTTAGTTGAGAAACAGCCTGTTGGTCTTTAGGGAGACCTGCCTGGCACTAGTTCAAAGCTTACTTCTGAGAGCTAAACGGATATGGTCAGATAACGTGTGGTATATGCTGTTCCAAGTAGGAGGGTACTCCAAGGAGCTCAGAGTGCTTTACAATCATCAAGCAAGGTGCATGCAATTTTGTGTACAGCAGATGAATTGCAAAATTAGGTCTAAATGTTTAACCCCCACCGTCAACGTCTTAATGGAACTCAAATATATGAACACTACTTTGTGATTCTACTGTCTACAACATCAAGGGCAGGGTGTGCATCTTTTGTAAGTGGCTGCCTATACAGCATACCTTTTGAGCGTCTATAACTAACACAATTCAGATAATAGCAGTTTAACTATTATTACCAATTGTTTTAATACAGCCATGGTCTTCGGAATTGCTATGTACATATATCAGCTTTCTCGACTGAGTAGCTTTAATAGCTTAGCTCTCTTCTTGTTTCTCTGAGAATGGCCTCTGTAAAGGACCTGGGCTCCTAAACCAGCACAATGATGGCACATAAATAACTTTTTATTATAACGCAACAAAGAAGACTTGGCTTTTTCAATTATTTTTAACTTCTAATAAATTTTAAACCTTTATGCAAAAATGTATTTCATGGCTGATTTCTTTTTCACAGGCTCACATATCATTGCCATAAACTGTAAACACTTAACCCTGCCCACACATAAAGTCTCTCTTAAAGCTTCCAAAGTACTTGTGTAGATTTTTGCAGTTTCTGTCTTCACAATAATAGAAATGAAAAAAGAACTTTTTGTTTCAAAATAAGCTTTAAAAATGTTTATTGTTGAAAAGCAGCATCGGATATTATAGTGTTGGAAAGTTACTGCGATGAGAACATTTTAAGATCTGCACATAATTCCTTCTATTCCTAGAAAGGTTATTCCTTCCTTGGCCCAAAAGGATGGTGCTAAGAAACTGGGGACTGGGGTATAGTAAAAGTAAGACTAAAGGGAGTAAGTGATAGAAGTATGAAAATATTTTGTCTCTAACAGTGACCAAAACAGGACTTTCTGACCTCAAATTTGAAGACTATGGCTGCTGAGCTACATCACCTGGGTTGTACTTTCTGGGCTACAAATCTGAGCTCTGTGTCATTCTTTAGCAAACGCACATGGGCTCAGAAGGAAGCCAAAGAGACAGTCCCCGATGTCACAATATGGAAACAAGAGTGTCTCACCCATAGAGACAGTCCCCAGTGTCACAATATGGAAACAAAAAAAAAGAGCAAAATTTACTTTAAGGTGACAAAGTCTTACACAAAGAGCCACAGCAATGACGCCAGTGGTGGCAATGACTGGCATCAGCACTTGTGTGTCACGTCCTGTTGAATGTTTTCCCCTGGTCAGTGAACTACACCCAACAATAACCCCATGAGGTGGATGAAACCATTATTTTTACCATTCTACCAACGAGGAAGCCATCTAGTGGTCAGGAAACTTTCCCCAGTGGTGGACTCCAAACTGCAACTCAGAACACATGAATTTCCAGTTTTCTGTTTCAAGTAGGGTCAGTTCAAGATGCCAGGGGTACTGTAGGTGCAGTGGAGAAGAGGGCCTGGCACACAGAAGGCTCTCTAGCCCAGCTGTCCCTTTGGAACTCATTCCCCTTGAAGTACCTCTGGGGCAGAGACCTCATCGGCCTCCCCCACTGCCCACACCAGGATGTCCCTATGATTTCACAGGCGTGAAAAGCTAAGTAACTACTAGGTCTATCCCAGTAGAAGCAAAGGAGCTGTGGATTTGAAGACATAGCCAGTCTTCACTCTGAAAAGCTTCTGGGGAACAAGTGGCCTCTAATTTCAGGTTGTAGGAAGCTCTCTTCTGGCCCTTGTGGGTTCTTCAGCTCTCAGCTCTCATCTTCAGACTCCCCTGTCCATTCACTGCCCTCTCCAGGGCCGTAGGTCTCTGCAAAGATTGGCCCTCCGGGTCCGCTGCTAGCCCAAGGTTCTGCCACAGGGGCAGTACAGGAAAGCTAGAGAAGGAGGAGGTATTTCCTTCCAGGATTTTCGGCTTCCTGCGGGCAATAGCTCCTTAGCCAGGCCAGGATAACTGGCTCCAGCCCATAACTCACTGAGCCCCTCAGAGCCACAGCACCAGCCCTTTTCTCACTTTGCCTTTTTGTGCCTCACTTGAAAAAGAGAAGCAATTAACAGTGACTTGCAGCTGCTGTGGATGTTGGTCAAATTAAGTAGGAATTTCTCCCTACCACTTCATGTTCCTGCAGTACCTTCTAGCTGGTCATTAGGGTCAGGACTTGAGATCCCTTCATGTGTCCTCTGTGTGTCACTTTCACACAGTGGGTGCACATGGCAATCACACAGCAAGGGACACAGAGTGGGTGCACATGGCAATCACAAAGCAGGGACACACAGTGGGAGCACATGGCAATCACGCAGTGGGGGACACACAGTGGGTGCACAGGGCAACCACACAACAGGGACACACAGTGGGAGCACATGGCAATCACACAGTGGGGACACAGAGTGGGTGCACATGGCAATCACACAGTGGGGGACACACAATGGGTGCATCTGCCAGTCACATAGTGGGGGGACGCACTGTGGGTACACATGACAATCACACAATGGGAAACACAGTGGGTGCACATGGCAATCACACAGTGGGAGACGCACAGTGGGTACATGCCAGAGACTCAAATCACATGTTATCCATTTTGGGAACCTTTATTATCCCTTATTACCTTACTTCTCAGTCATTCAATTACCTACTTACCCTTTCAGTTATCAGATTTTCTTCATAATCCCACGTTTCTCACAGCCTTTCTTTATTCCTGCTCTCCAAAGGTGTTTTTTTTTTTTTTTTTTTAAACAGCTTTTGGCCACAGCTGCGTTTGAACCCACCACCTCTGGCATATGGGGCCGGCGCCCTATCCCTTTGAGCCACAGGTGCCGCCCTATTCCTGCTCTTTCGGTCTCTTTCTCACCTTCCTTCCCTGCAGTCCCAGCAGAGCTTCCACTTGGTGCATTTTCATTTTCTCCACGGTCAGAGTAGAAACGGAAGCTGGGGCAAGCAGAATGAGAGTTAACTCCTCCATGCTATGGTGGTGGTCATTTAGAAGAAGGGAGTTTACCCCTCCGCTCTAGGGCATCTTTGCCACGTTTCCAGCACAATCCGGATAATAGGTCAAAAGAGAGAGGACAGAGACATCTTTAGAAGCTACTGCATTCATTACACTGTGATTCTGTCCCCTGGCCATGAATTTGGCAAACTTTGCTCTTCAAGTCAAGTCAGGGACATCGGCTGTACATCTTATTCCAGAAGCTGACATAATGCACCACCCTTCTTCTCTTCACTCCGCAATAATTCACTTCCTCACTCACTCATTTGTTCAGCTAGCACTCCGGTAACTGATCAACCACTCTGCCACGGGCGAGGCATGCCGGAAGCAGTGTGTGAGGTGACGCTGCCTTTCTGTAACTTGCTGGGCATGTGGGTGGCCGCTCACACCCCCCTCCTCACCCCCATCCTCCAGGGCTCCGTCAGCTCTCAGTTGCACTTCCCACGGGGTCTCCAAACAGTCTCTCTGCCTTCAGGCTTGTCCAAGCCATTTTCCACTCTTTGACAGGAGTGGACATTTTAAAGTGCAAATCTGATCGTGTCAAATAATGCAGAAGTTTATCACCTGGGACAGACTCCTAAGTGTGTCATACAAGGACTTCATGACTCAGGCCCCCAGCTTTTGCTCCCTCTAAATGCTCCCTCTAAATCTCATGACTCCTCTGCCCTTTGACCTCCGTGCTCCGGCCACCTGGTGGCTCCTCCCACCTACTGAGTCTTGCCTCGAGGCCTTGGCAGCCCACCTCCTTCTGCCTCCTTCTGCACCCACCTCCCACTGGGTGACCTGCTCAGCTCCTTGGTATCCTTTGGCTGTCAGCTCCTCTGAGAAGCTGTCCTCTGCGTCCCATGGCTGTCCTTTAGATCCTCTGCCAGGGAATTGCAGCCTCGCCCGCTCCTCGGGGTGGGTTTCCTCACCCAGCTGGAAGCTCCGTAGGGTCAGTGACTATTTCTTCTTCATCTTTGAGCATATGGTAGGTGCTCAAAAGGAATGTGCTGAATGAATGAATTGGTATTTTTCCAAATTCCATCATAAAGTTACTGTGCAGACTATCACTCCATTTTCATTCCATTTGTTAATTAGAAAAAAAAATAGTAATAATTTAAAAACCCAAACAAACTTACTAGAAAGAGTTTTCTTTTTAAAGTAAGATTTAAATATAGGACTCTTTTCATCTTGCTATCACTGCAGTAATATAAATGAAGCAAATTAATTTTAATGCTCCCAGGTACTGATTCTGTGTCACCATGGTTGACAGGATTCAACTAGACTTTATGAGATGGCATTTGACTTTATGGAAGGGAACACTCTGCACGCATTTACAATTTTACAGGGACTTTAAGCTGTCATGCTGAAAAATGTTTATAAAACATTAATCAAAAAATGCCTCTTTAATACAATGCATTGTCTGAAAGATGTTAGAAGGCACATATTGTAAATGGATTCTTTTTCTGACTAAAGTAATTTCCACCAAAAGCATTTCCCCACTGCTCTGCCAGTACACTGGGTGGAGAGATGAAGAGCAC